AAGGCTGAGTCAACCCTGAGCCGGTGAGATTTGAACCGCTGACCTGCTGATCTAGCAGTAGCCTGCAGTGCTGCATTTAACCACTGCGCCACCTTGGCTGCGCCACCTTGGTGGTATCAAATACCACCTGAGGCTATTACTCTAACAACAAATATATCCAATAGAACATGGAAACGATGAAGAACAGTGGCAGTCTTAATAAAAGGAGAGAGGGTGATTGCCTGATGAATGCATCTAATTGTCACTTGATCTGTCCTTCCCATCATCCCAACTTTCCTTACTTGTGAGGTTTGGTGAGATTGTGAGGCGTTGCACATGATTTCTCCTCAAAAATTGCCACGTTGGTCTTCATGACTGAAACTAAATAGCCTATTGCAAGGATACTGCAAGTGCCATCAATGCAGGCTGGTTGACGAGCGCCCAAAATGCAATCACATGATTGGGAGCCCCCTTCCCTCCCTCTGGCCATCATAACTTTGGATTCAGGTCATAAGTAGCTCTAGGAAGGTCCATCCTAACTTTGAATGGTTGCTAAGCGATCGTTCGTAAGTCAAGAACTAACTGTAAAAGATAAAAACCACTGTAACGACATATAATCCAGGTTGCCCTGGTTAAATCAAGAATCCTCAAACACCAGCAGAGCTTGCCTTATCTCCTGGCCCAAATGCCTGGAACAAGAGAGCCTTAAGAACCGTCAAGCTCATTATAGCTGAAATACTTGCTAAAAGACACCCATGCATTTCCTTATTTGCGTGCAGAAATCAAATATGTTAATATTTCTAACATAGCTCTTTCCTCTTCCAGGCATGGAAAGGGCTATGTTGTATTCATTTAACTGCCAGCAGCGAAGCTCATCCAGTGTCATTTAATCCTGGCAACATTTTTGGGGTTGGTTCTTTCATAAACAACCAACCAACAAATTGATTTTTACAGTTTGATAGGGATTTTGGAAGATTGCCCGCTTCCCTGCCTGACCAGTCTCTCTGATTTGGAGCTTAAGCATTTGAAATGCAGAAGGAAGAATATCTATTTCCGCTCTTGCTTTGCTGATTATTTGTTATGAGTTGGGAGTTATATTCTTTCGCAAAAAAGAACTGCAGCTTGCTCAGATGAACCTGTTGGTGCTAATGAAAATATGCACGACATGAGTTTGGCTCTAACAAGGCATCACCCGTGCATCAAAGCGAATTTGATCTTTGTTTCATAGCTTTGACTTTCTCTGGCGTTTAATTTCTGCATCAGTAAGGATGATGAGAATTACCATTTTTTCCCTGTTGAAACCAGGCAGGAACTCTGATGGAGGTGTTCTCTTTTGCTAAAGAGAACTGTAAATGTATAGATCAGGCTTATTTTGTTAGCATGCCGAAGATGTAGACCAGTCTTTTCTAGGAGGTCATTCTGTTCCCTGTTCTGCTGTTTAAAACTTAAACCTTAAAAAAATATGTTTTATATCAGAAAACTAATTATGCTTAGCTCTCCCATCACCTGAAACTTCACCATGGTTTGAATTTGGGCTCCTATAACTTTCAGCCATCATGACCTTTGGGTGATTAGGAATTCTTGGACCAGAGTACAAAAACATCTTAGAGCAGGGGTTCCCATGCTGGCTGAGGAATTCTTGGAACTGTCCACATGTCTTA